AGTTGTGTGGGCACAGGGTAGTGCAAGTGAGAGCAAGTTATGTTCCTACGGACACAACCAAAGCAACAACCTACGGGCCTACCCCAAATAAGCAAAGACCCTATTAAGAACCGTACCTAGTTACTCTAGGAGCCTCCACTTTCGGTGACAGAGGGCCTACCACTCGACACCTACTAGTTTCTTGGGCTCGTCGAGCAACTTGAGCCGATACGGCCTTGAGCCAAAATGGCTACGGAGAGGCAAACATATTATGGAGACACCCGGCACGAAATTTTCGATTCGGATAAATTCCCAAATATGGAGATACTCGGCACGAAATTTTCGATTCGGATAAATTCCTAAATTTCCCAAAAAATTGGTCTATTTTTTTGTTTTTTAAGAAATTTTTAAAAAAACAAAATTTTAGCAAAAAAAAAGGGATTTTTCAATCGCACGAAAAAAACAAGCGCTTGTGCTACGGAAATACCGGCTTATAAAAAAATAATTCTAATTGATTAATCAAATAATTTATATTTATATATTTTATTTTTTATTTATTTATTTAAATTAAAATTTATTATAATAAATTAATTTTTATGAATTTATTTCCTTTTTAATATTCAAAATATATGTATTTCTTATGCACCGGTAAGCCGTTGTAGCGGTACTCCGGCCGAATTGTAGTGTTTGTGGCGAGCGGTTATGCTTGTCTTAGGTTTTTCTCCCCGCGGCATAAGTTCTTGTTTTTTCGCGCCCGAAATTTTGCCGTTTTTTTTTTTTTAAAATTTTCGCGGTGTAACCCACCCAAATTTTCCCGAATTTTGGGTCGCTTCTGGCGACGCGGCTCTTAGGTTTCCGGACGTCACTCCCGCAAATGTCTTCAGAATTTGGGTAGTTTTCCGAAAAAAAAAAATACCGGGCCAAATTTCGGGGAAACCTGTCCGAGTCGAAATTTCTCGATTTTTTTTTTGTTTCCGTATATCCGTATTTATTTGTTTCGTAATTTCTGTTTTTCTCTATCTTTGTGTATGCCAATCTGTTTCTTTTTGGTGTTTGTGCTTCTCTGTCTCTATTTGTCTGTCTCTCGGGTTGTCTCGGTTTGTCTTTGTTTGTCTCTATGTGTTCGTGTTTGTCGTTCGTCTCTATTTCCTTGTTTTGTTATGTTTCTTTGTTTATTTCCATGTGTTCGCGTCTGTAAATTTGGTAATTGTTGTTTATATCTGTCTTTGTTTCTATCTTTTTGTTTGTTTGTGTTTGTTTTTGTGGGTCGGATTATAAAGATGGCATATTTTTGCGTTGCCACGTGCTCTTCAAATTGTGTTTTCTCTTTTTCGTATTGTCTATTTTTTTGTTTTTGAATTGTTTGTTGTTTTTTATTTTGTTTGTTTGCCTTTGTTTTTGTTTGTTTGTTTGTATGCTTTTTTATCTCTCTCTTTTTCTCTCTTTTTTTGTTCTCTCTTTTCTCTTTCTTTCTGTTTCTGTCTTTTTTTTTCTTCTTTTCTTCTTTCTCTTTTTTATGTTGGTTTTTGTTTTTTTTTCTTTTTGTTTTTTGTTTTTTCTCTTTGGTTTTCCTTAATGTTGTTTTTTTTCTCTCTATGTCTTTTTGTGTTCTTTTCTTTTTCTTTTTCTCTTTTTTGTTTTCTTGAATTGTTGGGTTTATTGTGTTTATTTAATTTAGGATTCTTTGAGGTGAAGGTTGATTCAGGAGGGTTTTTGGTTATACAATATTAATTTATTATGTATTAATATATTTTATTAATGATTATTTATATGTTAATGATACTTAATATTTATGATTTTGATTTTAGGTTATGATTTTGGTATTTTAAAGACATATAATACATAATTGGTTTGAAGGTTTATAATTATATGTTTTTAAATTTAAAGATTATTAATTATTAAATTTTAATGAATTTATGGATTGATTTTATTAATATATAATATTTTATGATTTTATATTTTTGAAATTGAGTTTGATTTTATGAGAAAAAACAACAAAACAATATATATATATATATTAAAATTACCTAAAATTACAATTGAATATATATATGTTGATTTATTTATATATTTATAATTTTAGATATTTAAATATTTATATATTTAAATATATTTATATATATATATATTTAAATATCTATTTGTTTACTTGTTTATTTATATATTTATATATTTTTATTTTCTTTAATTAATTTATTTTATATTGATTTATTTTAATTTAATTCGATTATTTATATATTATATATATAACCTAGGTTTCCAAAGGCCATTAAAAGAATGGTCGAGGTCGTTAGACTATTTTGTGCCGAAAGACCGTTTTTTTGCGCTTGGCCCTAAATATCCAAAAAATATGGCTTTTGTTGCCCAAGATTTGCTTAGGGTTAGGTCATTGACAGTCATGCCGCTCTTATCCTCCCAGCTGCAAATAACTGCACCCAAGCCACTCATTCCCCGGCTTGCCAAATGTATGGTCGCATCACTTTTCAAAATCGCCAGGTGTCCCGCCTACCGTATATGCATGTATAGATTCTTCGTATGTTGATATGGAAGTCCGGCTTGTATTGAAAATGCTGCAAACTTAGTGGCTTTAGGGCATCGTTGCCGATTAGGCATGTATGGTGGGCCCCTGGAGGTATGATTGTCCATGTTTTTAAATCTATTTTCCATGTTTTTAAATATATTTTCCACGCTAAAAAATGTATTTTCCACGGTTTGTCTATGTTTTGTCCATGCCTAATTTTCTTTCGAAATCGATTAAGCAATCAACAAACAACACGCGATTAGACTCTGTGGAGCTGTGAACAAAAAATGGAAAAACGTGCACGGGCATGTGAGGGACAAGCCAAATTGATATAGCATGGTGACGGCATGTGATTACAACGGGATGAAGCGACTTTAATAGATACTTAGCTTATTTGATAAAAGGCAGCAATATAGTTCTTCAACTTCTCAATGTACAGAAGCGCGCGGGGATGTTAGGAGTCTCAAGTTGACCAAATTGTCTAGATCTATTTTTAATTGCCGAGGGACATTATTTTTATAGCCTTTCGTTTTTTAAATGGTCGAGGCTATTTAAAGAATAGTCGAGGAAACATAAGGTATAATTTTCGATTTTTATTTTATAATTTATTAATTTTAGATTTATCATTATATCTATTTATTTATATATTTCTAAATTAGGTCTCCTTATAATACATGTTTAGCCGTTTTTTGGGGGAGGATTGATTTACTAAAATGAAATATAAAAAAACGGTTTTATTCTAACCTTTCTATTAGAGGGCATACCATCTATATTGTTATGTAATTTTGTATATATAGTTCTCTATTACCACACCAGATTGTGTTTTCCATAAATCTAATCTATAATAATTTTAATTTAATATATATTTATATATCCATCTATCTATGTTTTTTTATCTGCCTAAATCTCTATCTAATTATCTATTATGTGTTTATCTCATCTATTAATTTGTCTATTTATAATTGTATTTAATTATTGTTTTATCAATTTGTTTTTGTTTAGTAAAACCTATGATATTAAATTTATCGAATTCGTTAACCTAATAAGATGAGCCCATTATATCTATGAAACCCGTTAAATAGATTCCTTTGCATAGGTAAAATGGCATCCTATGCAAAATGAATGGTATACAATAATCGGTGGTATATTTCTCATATTATGGTCGGATCCGAATACAAAAATATATTTTTAAATAATTTTAAAAAATATTTAAAATTATTATATTTGTTTTATATTTGCTTTGTATATATATTAGATATATATATATAATTTATGTATTATATTAATTGGTATTATAAATAATTATATAAATTTAATTAATATATTATAATAAAATTAAACCATATTTCAAAATAAATAAATAATTATCAATAAAAGAATATATATATTTAATAAAAATATATATTTTATTAACCTATAGATAGGTATAACTATTATTAATTATTATATATTAAAATATATAATTTTCGATAATATAATTAATTCAATTTAGAATAATTTAATTAATATAATTATATTAAATATATTATAATTTGAATAATTAATTGTAATGAATTAAAAAATTATTATTATAATCTATTTTATTATATTCGAAATTGAATTTTATATTATTCATTAATATATATATATATTGTTTTTTTTTAAAAAAATAATAATAATATAAATATAAATATACCATAAATAAAATATAAAAAATATGTAAAAACTCATTTATTATTTTTTTAAAACATTATAATTAATCAACACAAATTTTGCCCTAAATCAACAAAAATCAATAATCCAATTCCTAATATAATAAATACCATTGTGTATTATTTTTGTTTAATTCAATTAAAAAAAATAAATAACATAATCATCCTTATATATTAAAAAACCATCTATAAACCAACATTAACCTTACAAAAAATAAAAACAATTATAATATTTAAAAATACATATTTGATTTTACCTTAATATCAAATCTTTCCTAATTCCTATTCCGATCCAATATAAAAATTAACATTCATAAGCAAAAATAAATTAATCAATATATCGGAATTAGTATAACGATTATTATTTTAACAAATTTAAAACATATTATCAATATATAATTAACAATATTATTTATATAACAAATATAAAACATCAAATTAAAATTCCTATCACAATACAATATTCAAATCACAAAATATAAATCTATATTAACAATAAATATATATATACTTTCCCAATATCCAAATATAATTTTAATTATTCAAAATCAATTAACCAATAATCTCATTCATTTACAATATATTCAAATCAATAATATAATTTATTCATATAAAAATATCACATATTAAATATTCGAACAAATATAATATAATAATATAAGTTAATCCGATTTTAAGGATATTTAGCCCCAAGCCGAAAATTTAATACCGAATACAAACAAATGGTCTTTATCATTCATCATAATTGTGTTTATTTAATTATTTTCTAAATATACATTATACATATTATTGAATAATTTCATTGTTTTCGAATAATCTTGAATGAATAATCACCTGGTCAAGCAAGCGCTTCGACAAATATCAACTAGAATGAGGGGTTTCCCAAGACTTCAATTGCTAACCCTTAATGTGCTTGCCTTCCACCAAGAAAGGGTAGCAACATCAAAACCCCTAGGGCGATCGATTTCAGTATGTAGTTCCACCACTCGGTTCTCATTTCCTGAGTTTGTTTGAGGTTTCCGAGATTTTCCGCTCCCATCCCACGTGCTTTGCAAGCAATTGGTTGCCAGGGTGCGCTGCCGTGGAAGGCGCAGGCAGCAAAGATCGAAACTTCCTGGCCAAGTCGATGGGAGACACATGCGGCCCTCGTGTTTTCCCTTTTTTGAAGGGAACCTCTGTTTTGGGTTAGATTGAGGGGAAACCCAAGAATGATTACCAGCCAATGTTCTTCTTATTTGTGTTGCTCTTTTTGGGGGGGAGGCCCCAATAAGAGACACACACCCCGCAGAGGTTCTGAAGTCTCACAACTGTCAAACGGCTGCCAAACAGGCCTCTCTCGTAAACGTGCAAATGCACATGATTTCTATTGGGATCACATCTGGAGACCAGTTCAGCTTCGAAAAGTCCTTCCGCAAAATATTACTGTAGTCTTTTGCAGCCCCCATAATCACCCTGTTGACGTTTCGGGGTCCTGGAAGACCAGGTTCCTTCAAAAGCGAGCATTTCTCTGGTGGGGTTCGGTCAGTGACATGTAACACATATGTCTTCTGGGTATGGGTCAAAATTAAACCACCAGGAATCGGACCACAGGTTTTAGTCATTTCCATTTACCAGAGTGCCATTGTGGGTATCTATTTTTGACCCACAGCCTTCTCATGGCACATGCTCCAAACTCACCCCGAAAACAGTCGAGCATCCATGCCGGCAGCGCTCCGGCGACCTCGGGTGACTGAAGGCGCAGGCTTTTCTTGAGGCAACCGTTTTTTCTGGGCTGCCCTCAGATCGCCCGCTAAAAGTGACTAACCTTTAGTGGGTGAAATGGAACCAAAAGGCAAAAAACCTAAGGGGATGGCTGGGAACAGTGGTTGAAAGGGAAATGAAATGGGACACCTGTTTTGGGGGCTCAAACCCAAATCACTGAGAAGTTTGAGAGGGAACCACCTCACGAGTGGCTAGCAGAGGACATGGAAACAGGGCACATAGTGCCTCAACCCCATAGACAACTCGCTGGTCCCCCCTGCTGGGTCATTTCAGCAAAGGTCTGCAACATGCTCTTGCTTTGGGTTGCTTTTGTTACTGCACCTCATGCATTGCACATGTCTGCGCTCAATGGACACCTCGCTCCTTGACCAAATGATGTGTCACGCTGCAGCAGCAGACAGTGGCCACAATGAAAGCCACAGGATTTGTGGTCGTCATGTTGCTTGGCAGTTGCAAACGCAACTAAGGGTCATAGCATGGAGTGAACCCGCCACACCCATTGACACATTGACTTACCTGCATGTGTCCAGGTTTTGATTGTGGCAAAGATCAAGACACAGTATGCAAGTATTCCCATCGCTCTCACTCTCAGGAAAGTGTTCCGTTTCATGGGACTTCAAGGTCTTAGCCCCCTCAAGACTTGCATGTGGCATTGGAGCGTGGAGCCTCAAAGGCATCTGCATTTCCTGCACGTTGCATGAAAAGAAGATGATGGCCGAGGCTAGGTCCTCCAGTAGAGAGGCTAGAACAACGATGCCCAATTTTTTCTGTAGCTACTTTAATAGCCCAGAGGCCTTCTAAGGAGGTACTTAGACCCCTTTTTACCCCACAAAAGCCATCCTCAGGAGGTACTTGGACCCTCTGGGTAGGGGAACGCTCCCAACCAACAAAGGTAAAAGAACGGGCACCTAGCTTAGCTGGGGGACCTAGTAGCGGTTATGGCTGAGGCTTCTTTGCCTTCCTGTCTGGTTGTTTGCGCTGCACGCGTAAAACCAGCGCCTTGGTTTTTTTGCTCTGCGCTTGGATTGAGAGGATACGTGATTGCTTTTTGGTTCACGTTTATCTATCTATTTATTTCTCTATGTATGTATTTGTTTGTATATATTTGCTTTCTCCCTGTTTTCTTCTTCCGGTCGAGTGAGCCGTGAAAAGTCGGCAAGCTTCCTCCGCCACGGAGATGCCAAGCCCTTCCTGGCATGTGAGGGTTGCCAGATCCTGGGCTCTGGGATCAGTTACCAGTAAAACCATGGGGGGGTAATAGAACCACCAGAACGTTTTCCCAAGGATTGGATTGTCATCCAAATTGGGTCCTTGCCTTTCATTTCATGTGGGCAAGGAACCCTAGCTTGCATTTGGCTAAGGCCCCAGGAAAAATTCAAATATGTCCAGTAGGGATGAATTCCGTTCAAAGCCAACAAGGGAAAATCACTTCTTCTTCTTTTTTTCAAAAAACGGCCTTAAGCCAATTATAAAATAACTTCGCTTCGGGCAATCCCCACCCTCCACACTCACGAGCTTACGGCCGTTACAACAAAATCCTCCGCATCCTAGAGACTCGATTCCAAATTCCCACCGGCCCCTTCCCAATGATATTTTGCCGCGCAAGAATGGCAAAGCGCTGCTTCAAGCCCATTTCAAGCTTATTGGCAAGCAACAACTACTTGAAAAAGCCCCTTCCAAAAAGAAACTCAACGGGGGATTAAGCGAAGTTGCTTATTCGCAGCCCAAGGCAACACAAAAGCATCACCCTTTCCGAGCTCAGGGCACACTCAAAACACGAAGCACCAACATGAAATGTAAACCCAACTGTGCGCCGGGCGGGACATTAAGCAAAACCAGACTGGCGAGCTGCTCTGGCGGGATACTGGCGATATCCACTGGCGAATGCTGGCGAACCGCTCCGGCTCGATACTGGACTTGGCAGGATCCACCGGCAAGGGATACTCAGCGGGACGCTCGGTGGGATCCGCTGACGAGCTACTCTGGAATACTCGGCGGGATACTCGGCGGGATCCACTGGCGGGCTGCTCTGGCGGGATACTTGGCGGGATCCACTGGCGAGCTACTCTGGCGGGATACCGGGCGGGATCCACTGGCCAGCTGCTCTGGCCGCTCTGGCGAGATACTCGGCGGGATCCACTGGGCGGGATGCACTGGCCAGCTGCTCTGGCGGGATACTCGGTCGGCCGGATCCACTGGCGAGCCGCTCTGGCGGGATGCTTGGCGGGATCCACTAGCGAGCCGCTCTGGCGGGATACTCGGCCGGATCCACTGGCGAGCCGCTCTGGCGGGATACTCGGCGGGATCCACTGGCAAGCCGCTCTGGCGGGATACTGGGTGGAGGCGTGGTGTAGAACCATCGCAAACGCGGATTCGGACATAAAATCTAACAATCCCTTCCTGTCGGGTGGGGTAAAAAGAAGTTCTTAAGCAACTGGAGGCTAGGCTGGGGAGCAGAGCTCTTGCGGAAATGCCCCAGCGAAGAGTCTCATGTAAGCCGCTGGCATGCCCGCCATCTGCGCTTGCCGCATGACAGCGTTGATGGCCTTGCCAGGCAGAGTTTTGCTTCAGCCGGCCGAAGCCCCGACTCCAAACTTCCCACCTGTTAAAAAGTATATATATATATATATATATATACATATATATATATATATATAAATTATATGTATACATTATATATATATATATGTTACTTGCTTTTCTTTTAACAAACATAGTTTCCATGGGAAATACCTCTTCTTTTCGTCAGGTGCACTACCATACCCTGGAGAGAGCGGGCATTGGGTGTGGGGAAGGAAGCAGGTCTGTGACAAAAAACCAAAGGCCACAAATCTTGCTCCGCTTCTGCACAGACCTCGGGCATGCAGCGCGCCTCCTGGTTTCCAGAAGAAACCGCCACTTCCAGCAACGTCCGGATGTCTGACCTCAGCAGCTCGGCAGCTTCCAACTTGGATCTCGAGTGCGGAAGGCTTAACTCATGTGTCAAACTCGAAACCGAGGGCCAAGCCTTGATTTTGAAACCACGCGGGAAGGGGACAAACGAGCTGGCCAAGGCCCACAGAAAGGCCTTGGCGAGGGCTGTCCGCTAAAAGTGCAACTTGTGGATGAAATGGCTGTGGGTCGGTCAAAACCCTGTACCCCTGGTAAACGGCAAAATAGGTGGCACATGGATGTTTATCCACCTGAAAATGGAGCCATCGGTAATGCACCATGGCCAAATGGAAACTACGACCAAACCAAAAAACATCCAAAAACCTGAGGGGACGGCTGCGAACCATGCCTTGGAAATAAATGCCTTCTCGCCGTGCTACCGTGCGAAAACCCGTCCGCAAAAATGTTTCCCGACAAAACTCGAGCTGGGCGCCCTCACTCCGAGTGGGGTGCAGACCCCACCGCCTGCGAAACCAAGGCGTCTAGGGCTTCAGGGTTAACCTTCAGGGCCATCTGAAAAAGTCACACCCCGTCAACAAAAAGCGACCCCCCAAAGAAGGAATCGTTGTTTGCTTTATGTTTTTTGTTGTTGTCTTTTTATTTTTGCGGGTGATGTCGCACCTTGAGGATATAATTTGCCCAGGCCAACATCGTTGTGGAAATAAATTACCTTTTATGTGATTTGTTCTTGGTTTCGGAGAAACTGGAATTCCCTGTTCTCCACAGTACTGGAAGGTCAAAAGGGTCAGGCGGTTCAAGAGAAGGATTCACAAATCGCCAGACGTCAACGCATTTTGGCCAAAAGGCTCTCTTTTGCTTTCCAACGAACGTCCACAGGTAACCAACCCCGGTGTACCGCACGCCACCGCGCCTTGGGTGACATGACCTGAGCACAAGCAAAGCCCACATCTCAGGGAAAAACCGGCTGCGTGTGGAACTTGCTTTTGAACCACACCAAGACCGGCTCCCAGAAAAGCAGCAACCCATATGCGTGCTTCGCAAAAAAGGGGGAGCAAGAAGACAAGAGCTTGCTCCTCATATGCTGAACAAGGTAAACACTCATTTAGATGGAGTCCTGTCCTACTCGCACCACATACATGGTGGATGTGTTTCCAATAAACCGTCCCATTCTCAGAACCTTTTCAGGCGCGCCGTTCCTGCCGCGAAGCCGCAAAGTTGCCAGTGTACGATGTTTGCGCTAAAAATTGGGGGGAGGGGCAGCCATCTCAGGGTTTGGACCAAGGGTCTTTTTTGAGGTATCTGCAAGAAGCCTTGTGCAGCTCTGGGAACTGTTTGCGGGCTTTAACGTTGATCACCCTGACTCCCAACTGGACTTAAACCAAATAAGATGATATTGGATGGGAGATAGAAAGGAAAACAAATGAATGAGAATGAACGGTCAGGAGACATGCATGCAGCTCCGAAATGCATTTCTATACGTCTATTCTTCACCGTTTCACGATCTCCCTTTGCCTCTCTCTCTCTCTCTCTCTCTCTCTCTCTCTCTTTCTTTCTCTGTCTCTGTCTCTCTCTCTCTCTCTCTCTCTCTGTCTCTCTCCATTTTAAAGTCCTAAGAGAGAGAGAGATATGGAAAGGTGGATAATAGAGCATGAACAAGCTTTGAAGAGAGAGGAAAGAGTGCAGGGTCTCCCGCTCTCCAAATCTCTCCTCACCATCAAGTTCTCTTTTACCCGCTCCAGATAGAGACTTGGGGACGGAGCGGGAAGAACTGATGGTGAACCGTCTGCCGGCTCTATCCATCTCTTGCCTATCTCTTTCACTGGCAGAGGAACCAAGAGTTAACAGATCTTCCAGGAAACATAATGATGGGAAAGCCAAGAGTTGACAGATCTTCCAGGAAACAGAATGTTGGGAAAGAGAACAACAACAGAGATGAAAGGAATGATATGATGGCCCTTCGCTCGCTCGCTTTAATGCTCATTCCATTTCTGGTCTGCGACCGCAAGCTGACCGGCCAAAGGCCAGGCAAAAAGTATTACAATCCATCCTTTAACACGAAACCTGATTGTTGGGTTCTGCAAGACCACCTCTTTGTAAAAGGGAGTGGACGGGGCAGAGCTCAATCCAGCCCAGCTTTGCTTTCCAGCAGTGCTTGCGCACATGGCAAGGCAACAATGAAACAAAGCCAGAAACAGCGATGCTTCTGCAGAGTGCTGCAACCTTAGGCTTGAAATCTCTGGGACTGCCGGTGACTTTGAAATCGACGGCCTTCAAGACTTCTCAGAACTGAATTGAGCTCCCCGTGCACAAAGGCTGATGAGTGAGACAAATCATCATGTCCCCAACGTTAAAGTCCAAAGATTCCACCAAATCGCAGCCAAGAAAACAGCGCTGCGTTCCACGTGTCCTTTCCGGGAAAAAAAAACCAAAAAACGACAGGACACCCAAACCCGGAGCTCATCATAGACGCCCGTGAAGCCGGTCCGAGCCGCCACTGCAGGCGCAGCAAAGGTGGGCGGAGGTGGCGGCAGTTGATGCGCCCCCGGATGGGCCATGAAGCCTGCAGAGGGCACCGTGAAACTGAGCTGAGACTGAAGGAAAGTCGGCTCATATGGGTGTGGCTCAAAATTCAAGAACTGGGGTTACGCAGGTTTTAGTCTTTGGTCCCATTTGCCAAGGTCCATTTTGGTACATGTTGTTGACCCACAGCCGAGGTCCAGACAATAACATATCATCTGTTTAAATGTTGATGGATTGATGACAATCCAAGCAACAAGGCTTTTGATCGTCTTTGAGATCTAGGCAAGCGACGAGATTGCACAAACATCTTGATTACCAGTACCGTTGACCACCAGCCCTGTCACGCAAACATCAACTCGTAGCGTCGGCGGAATTTCTTTGAGTCGAGAGTCGCTTCCGGCTCCAGTCGGACAGCCAAGGTCGGCATCCAAGTAACCAAACTTAGATGAGTTTCACGCGGCAGAGTGATCCGCAGGTGATTCTACTCCGCACGTGTCGCCCCCCTAAAAGAACTCCTGACTCAGCCCAACAAGTGAGGTCTGGTTAACACCCCCAACACGCTTGCCATCCACAATCAACCTGTACAAACAAAGGGGAATCCAACAAGCCTCCAGTGAGGTGCTAAGGTACTTTTCCGCCCATCTGGCAAATGGACGTTTTCAAGACTGAGCCTTTAGGCTCAGAATTGGACATGTTTTGGCCAAAACGGCATGCCCAAGAATATCAAGCACAAGAGTCGCTGGAAGCTTGGCACGCCCGACATCAAGAAAGAGGAACTTGAAGAGTTTGGTCCAGGATCATAGTGTGGTCCAGGACAAAATCTGGTCGCGTCACTTTGAAACCATGGGTTAACACCATGGATTTGTTTGGTATGTACGTTGGGGAACATAGGTGTCCTTTAGATGGCCCTGGTAGATGATTAAACCACCAGGTAAACCAGGGCCATCTATTTTTCTACCAAAACAACCAAAAAAACACACCTATGTTGGGGAATCGAATCATTCCAGGGCTTCTTAGGTGGTGCGAAGTGGATTCGTCCACCCACAGTATCCCCGCTCCCTCCCAAAAACATGGAGCTGCAGGAGATTCCGCTAGGCACAGGGTGAAATCGGCAAAGTGTTCATGTCCTTTCCGTCGGTTGGCCCCTGCAAATCATTTAATCGGGTGCCAGAATGGTGGTCATTCTTTCTGCTTCCTTTCCTCCCCCCCCCCCAAACAAACAAACACAAACAAACACAAACAAACACAAACAAACAGGTTCCGTCAACAAAAAGGCACACCCAGGTAGGTTATAACGATGGTTACTATCCACAAGTCCCCTGCCCCTTCAATTTGAGTACATTTTCTTCTTGAGACCACCTGAGCCACAATCAAAACCCGAATAAAATCCAAATAGCGGCGGAGATCCGCCGCCTTGATTCTTTACATGGTTCTGGGCTTGGACCATTTTCATACCGGGTCTTGAGTAACCAGGTTGAGTTGGAAGGCTGCCCGCCTGGGCCAGGACGAGCGGGAGCCTGAGCCTCGGGCTAGCGTGTCACATGTGAAATCCCCCAGAAGCTATCCACAGACAAGTACACATGTAAAACATATATATATATATACACATATGTATATATGTACACACATGCATACATACATACCCCCCCCCCGACCCGCAAAAAGCTGTGGGAAACAAAAGCAACACACAGTGGGAGCAAAAACATTAAAACACGACAAACCCGCAGAAACAGAGAAAACCATTTTTTTAGATCAACAAAAAAAAGCCAGAAGAAAACACGTGGTTCTCCAGAAGCCGGACCCTGAGCCAGAGCAAGAAAAACCCAAAACAGAAGCAGAAGAACAAACACAAAAGAAACCAAAAGGGGGCGCTCCAAACTAGCAAAACCAAAACAAAAACTGGTCCAGACACCCCAAGACTAGAAAACAAAAACCGGGTGGTCCAGACACCCTGTTTACTAGAAGACCTTGTGGCTGTCTGTCTGGTTTTCACGGGTTTTTGCCCGGGGTTTGGAGCAGGCCATCTGGGTGCGAGGAAATGACGGTTTGACTCCCTCACATAATTCAGATAAAATATCATAGGGAAAGGCAAGCTGGTCATTTGTTCAAGCTGGCTTGTCCCTTAAGGAGCGAAGCACCAATAGAAACTCAAGGTCCATTGGTTCGCAAGTGTAAAATCCATGGCTTTAGGTGTGCACAGTTGCTTTGTTGAATTTCATTGTACGTAGGATGTTTTCCAAGTAGGATTGTTCGTTGAATTTTAAATCGATCGCTTTCCTGGACGAACGTTAAGAAAATAAGGTCTCTGAATTAGACTTTAAATGAATTAGACTTTAAATAGGAATTCCTGTCTAAGTAGGATGCTAACTAGAAGGATCACACGCGGTTGTAATTAACTTGATTAGACCTCTTATCTTGAAATATGTATGTTTAAATGGAGATTCCTGTCAGGCCTTTTCTTAAAAGGACATGTTTGACCACTGTGGCAAAGGCATCTAAACAACCTGGTCTGCATCTTCAAGAAGGGTCCCGTGGGAGGGGGGGTAGCATAACATACATATATACATATATATATATATATGTATATATATACACGTGTGTTTGTATATATGCCTCTGTTGTACTACATAGAATAATACATATATGATCATATATGTATCAGCGTTGCCAGCCCCCCCCCCCCCCAATGGTCGTGGGTCAGACAAGTACCCCCCCCCCATCCCTGTGGTTGTGGTCCTGTGGTTGGGTTGTGGTGGTTTAGGGTTGGTTTAGGGTTGGTTTAGGTTCGGAGGTTTACGGTCTGGGGTTTGGTTTAGGGTTTGGTTTAGGGTGTATTTAGGGTTGGTTTAGGTTTAGGGTTTATTATTTAGGGATTGGTTTAGGGTGTATTTAGGGTGTATTTAGGGTTAGTTTAGGGTTGGTTTAGGGTTGGTTTAGGTTTAGAGGTTTACGGTTTAAGGTTTGGTTTAGTGTGTATTTAGGGTTGGTTTAGGGTTAGTTTAGGGTTGGTTTATGGTTGGTTGTGGGTTGGCTTGTCCTGGGGGTGGGGGTGCCGGGGTGTCGGGGTGCAAGTTTAGGGGGTCGGGGTGAGGGTGGGACCGTAGGCGCCAGGATGCGGGGGCTCGGGGTCTCGGGTTGGGGGGGGGGTCCTGGGGGACCCATACCATCTGGGGGGGGTAGCAACACGGAACACGGGACCATATATTGGCCAGCCCCCCAGCCCCCCCCCCAATGATCTACCTGCTGTGTCTTGAAGTCTGTTTAACTATTTCGTGTGTGTGTGTGTGCGCGGAACATGCACATTTTTAAATGCTAGACGACCTGGTGTCGCGGTGTTCTATGAACTGTATACTCATATTTATGGCGCAGAAACATGAACGTGTATGTACAAAACCTCTGAGCGGATTCTGGTCTCTGGAACCATTCCACATTGAACTGGCCATGATATAAAAGCATTCATCTCTAGTGTTTTCTTGCGTTCTACTCCTACGAAGTGCCTGAAAAACACGATTTTTGGCGTTTTCTTTAATCAATGAAAGCACTAGATCTTACAGTATAAAACAAAAAAACAACCGAGATAATCTTTTTCTGAGCGATATTGTCAAACAACCTGAGGAGGAACCAACAAAAACCGAGAACACCAAACAAACCAAAACCGAGAAAACACCAGGTTTGTTGTTTGTGGGCATTGCTCATCAAGTTTGGCTGTTCTGTTGAGATTTGCTCCCTTGTGTTCTTGTTGACGGTGTGACCATATCGCCGTGCTGCAATTGACATCTTTGGCTGAACACTTTTATCAGCGCAGTCAGCGACCTCAGTCTAGATCAGACTGAAAAGAGTAATCTGCTACAGAAGAGGACTTTGAACAAAATATATTAGAAGTTAAGTAGAATTCAATAAGGGCGGCAGTTGAACTAGATGTTCGATTTTACAACAAAACTCAACAGCTGGCGTTTAATTCTTGACTCAAGCCTCATAAGGCTCCTTACAAGGCTCCTTGTAAGGCTCCTTATAAGGCTCCTTATAAGGCTCCGTATAAGGCTCCTTATAAGGCTCTTTCCTTAAACAACTCCTAACAAGTCTAATTGAAAAGCTCGGCTAGCTTTAAGTCTTTCAATAAAGCTCCGTACGAAGCTCCTTGTAGGGCTAGCTATAAAGATCCTTATAAAGCTCCTGTTTGAAGCTCCTTGTCCTTGTGCAAATCCTTGTAAAACTGCTTGTGAAGTTCCTTATAAGGCCTCTAAGGCTCCTTATACCAAATAGGATGTTGACTACAAAAGCAGGTTGAACAGACAGAAGCTTATGAAACAAACAATTCAGAATGAGCATTCATCCAAGAACTTTCCAACCGTGAATTCCATGTTAATACTTTGTTTTAGTAAGATCATAATCATTTGTCAAAAGAATTTTGATGATTATAATTTGAGCAGAACTTAATAACGATGACATTACTCTTACAAACATGTTTAACATAGAATGGAGTTGATTTAAGTTTGCAGATGCAACAGAACATAGACATTAACTATTCCTATTCAACTATGACTTTTGTTTGTATAATAATTCAAGCAGGATTTAATGGTGAGGGAGTCTAATCTGACAGGCTTTTTGCAATTTGACATGAATATGAAATTCCTGTCCACACTGGTTCTCACATGAACTTCAATTGGAAATTGAGTCGAAGTTGAAAAGCATTATGCAGCTATGTTGGGCTTGCAGATGCGACATAACATGCAGATGGAACATGATACACTGTGACATACAACTGATTTGAGCCCACAGATGGTACAGATTAGTGCAGATGGCGCAGAAAAGGTAGATCATGCGGGGGGGGGGGGGGGGCTGAGCATATATGTATACATATTTCTATCTATACATATGTGATTATTTATATATATATATATATCTATATACATATGTGATTATTTTCGTCCCTCCTCTGCCTTTCTGTCTCACCCTCTCAGGGAATCATTGCCCGAAGTGCTTCGGGGGAAGAAAAAAAAAAGCGGCTGCGCGGCTGCTTCCCGTCCCCAAGTCCCGAGCCGCCAGGTGGGGCGGCAGGCCGTAGTGCGACTGGATCGGCTGCGACTGGATGGGCTGCGTCGACATAGGCTGCATGGGCTGCGTCGACATGGGCTGCATGGGCTGCGTTGGCGGCATCTGCGCTCCATGGACCTGGGTGTTCCCCCCTACCTTAAGGGGGAGGGAATTGGGTGGGGGTCGCTCAATTCCTTTTTCCGGTTTTCAGCATGAAAGGAGTTTCAGGATTCACCCTGCCCAAACTCCATGTTTAATGGGGTGGGGGATGTGGCTATAAACCACTTCCACAATGGTAAGCTCAGGTAGCTTCTGACTTGTGACCATGGCTACTCCCCGAATTTTATCGCCTCTGGGCCCAGAAGAGATCCAGTCTCTGGGGCAACCCAGTTAAATGGGCTCGTAGAACTGGGCTAAGCCTTTCAAGTGCAAAGCTCTCGGGTGTTCCGTTGACTCGGCTGCACATATTTCTATGTGGTGATTCGTCATGCGGAGATTTCACCGGAGAATTGGACTCCCGGCTGGATCGTTGTTCCTGGGACTCCTGCTGACCGTCCAAAAAGAAGGACGCCTTGCATGCGCTTCTTTGGTACATTCCTCAACAGAACCTTAAACCCAGCAGTGTTCAGTTTCAGTGGGACGCCCCAAATCAACGGTTTCCTGTTGGTTGCCAAGTTGCGGCTTGCCTTGTTTTTGGTTAGTGTTCATTCTCTCGAACGGCTCAACCTTCTTCGGATGCAACCTCGGCTTCTCTGGCAAGCAAGTTTATGCCTTTTCAGGCGAAGGCATCAAAAGGCATGGAGACATGCCCCGTGGCAAACTCCAGACCTTTCAAGACCCCGCCTTGCGAAGCTTGTTGTGGATTTGGCCATGGGTCAAAACCCCGTACCCGCAGTGAACATCCCAATCCCCACTAAAATCGGTTCTAACAACTGGTGGTGCCCCGAAAACCCCCAAAATGGGATCCCATTGGTTTTGCCCCACAGGCATTTCAGCCATGAGACTTTGGCCAAAACGCCCTGAGGGCTAAGTGAGCCATCTGCCGCATCTCTTCAACACGGGCCTCCGATTTCGGGTGACGGACGCCGAGGCCACCCAGTCCCACCGGGGCTCCCACTAAACCCAGCGCCACGGAAGGGCACCCTGGCCTGCGGAGGGAATTCCGGGGGACCAGGAACACCGAAAGGTGGGGTCCAAATCCCCCCCCTCCCCCCCTCCCCGGATTTTTCACAGAGTTGCCTTTTTCCCTTTAGAAACGGAAAGGATCCGACATCAGGACATCCCCATCTTTTTTCTTTGTACTCAAACAAATTGGCTTCCGTTTGTGGCGACGGCAGCACACTGCTGGTTTTCTGCTCCAACTAGTCCAATCGCCAATCTATGCCTCAGCAAGTTCGCCAACACTCTTGCCTCGACAAAAACAAAGGACTCCCTAAGAAACACCTGCATTCTAGGTGAGCTCGTAAGCGGTGTGAGTCAAGCTTGACTTGATCCAGTCTTTACAAAATAAAACCCAACATCCACGGCCGCAACCTGTTCCTACGTGAAACTGCGACCCCAAGTCAGTCTTGTTTATCTAGAAAATAGCTTGGATGCGGTTTCTGTGGGTTTCACCTGGTCTTCCCCTTTTTAGTGATCTTTTAGTACTCCTTGAACATGCTACTGGGGTGGATCCACAAAAGCCACATCCACACCGTTTTTTAGAGTTTAAAAGGTATGCTGAACATCATGATCTTCCAGCCCCCGGGTTTCCGCTTTAAAAATAAACACACATTTCGCCAAGTTGCAACTCGGTGCAGCACCATAAGAACATGAATAGGGCAAGCGTCCTTTGAGTCGGCACCCAACCTCCCTAAGACTGGGGGGGAACCAAACTCGACACTGGCTTTCACGGGACAACTCAAACCTCCCAAAGTTTTCGGGGGCACAAATTCATCCAATACTTCAACCTTTGGTTTTGGCCACTAGAGCTTTGAGTTGACTTCTCCACAAGACTTCAAACTCCAAACCGCTCTCAGGTCGAACCTGGAACTACCACCCTTGCAAGCCCAAAGAGTTTTTCTGCTCAAATAAATCGGTGTGGGTCAAAAATAGGTACACAACATGGCTTGCCCTGGTAAATGGAAACAAGGACGAAATCTTGCGGTCCAATTCCAGGTGGTTTAATTTTGACCCATACCCAAATAGATTTACCCTTACAAGTAGACCCTTGCACCCCGCAAAGCCCAGGCTGCTCCTTTCATAGTGAATGCGATGCGACCAAGCCGGGATGGTTCACACCGTTTCCCGCAAGGCAACATGGGGCAAAGAACCACCAGGTCGCCAGCAACAAAACATCTCACTCTGGGCCAGTGCAGCCAAAGCACATGGGAGGCTGTTGAGGCATCTGCGCGACCTGAGAACGCTATCTTGTTCTCGTCCCACACACACACACACATGCGAACCACCACAGGAATACTCTTCTGGGTGTCATATGGGATGTGATCTTTAGTGGTTGGAACATCCTCCAACGTGGTTGGCAGATATTATATATATGTACATATATTCAGGTATTGTCCACTTAAGGGTCCCAAGTAGAATCAGTCCATTGTTCAAAACCCATGCACTGTCTTAAACAAAATCCTTCCAGGGGTTGAAGGTTGAAGACGCAGTTGGACGATGGTGGCCTCTTTTCAGGGGGAGTTGAACATACCATGGGCTATTTGCAGGTTTTAAGTAGCAGGCCACAGGCTCAGTGCTTCAAGGCTCGGCTAGAAGCTTAATTTCTTTTTCGGATTGCGAGACTTCGCGTGAGAGCCGTTTCAAAGCAGAACCCCCCCCCCCCCCCCGTGTCTCCATCTCCCGTGGTCAAGGTTCACCCCTGAAATTTGAATCCGTTCTATCATCACCAGTCAAACAAAGGCCAAAGATTTGGGGGTTGATCAAAAGGTCCTTTATATACATAGAATAATGATTGGGGAAAGCCAGCAACCGTATTTGACATGTCCCAAACAGGAAAAGTTACACATGGTGAAAGCGGGGGCCTAAATCAACCTTGATCCAGCTCCAAGGAAACTCCTCTTGAATCTGTGCCCTCGAGCCAATAAACAAGAGAAAAACGGGGTACACAATCACCACATAGCCCCATTTCCCCTAGCAGTGATCTGGGGGCAGTGGAAATACTCTTAGACTTGCTTGCTCTCAAATTCTGGGACCGAACAGATTGATGTTCTTGTTGGCCTCCGTTTTTGAACCAAAAGGCGGTTCCCCAAACCGTGTTCACTAGATTGGTTGCAAGTAACGCCAACAGGTGGTTCCCCCAAAACCTTCGACACGCGATTTCATTGACCAACCGTTTGCCCCGGTCGCTATGTCTGCGGCTGGCGCGGCGTAGATTTGCCCCGGGGGAGGGCCCTGAGCTGTCGGGCTCTTCAGATCTTGACCCGAAGACCGGGACCCTGCGAAAAGTGATTTGCTTTCCTGGTTGCAAGGTGAAACCCAAAACCGCGCAAAAGTTGTTTTTAAGTTAGGTGTGTTCTTCCTGGTTCAAAGGTAACATGATGGAAACCCAAAAAGGCGAAACAGTTGCTTGTAAGAAAAGTTATTTTGGTGTGCTGGTTGAAAGGTGAATGACGAAAACACGTTGGTTTCATTGTAGAAACAAGGCAGGTCCATTTGAGTAGCCTTTTTCAGGTTGGTGTTGAGGGAAGCTAACAACAAAACCCATCATTGTGGGGCGCCCTCTGGACCCATTTTGACGCATACCAATGTGGCCGTGGACAAGTCATGTTTCGCCAAAGGGCAAACGACGCAAACATTGGCACTTGTCAACCGCAGCCCTGAACACCTGACAATTTGGAGAACAATTATTGGCTTGGGTGTCCTGGCAAAAACTACGCACAACTACACACTCAATAGGCTACGAATGCATAAAGCATAGGATAAGTTTGGGTGTTCCAAACAGGGTTTTCATGCGTGTGCTAAGACAACAGCCGGCGAGGGATGGCGCGGCGCGCAAACTGAGTTGGACCCCTTCTTGGTGCATGTGGAAGTTTCCTGTAGGCAAAACGGTACCACCTGGCCGGATGAGAGAAAGCAACTGCAAAACGACCAGCCTAAAATTGGCATGTTCCAGAAATTCTAGGGGGAACTAGAAGGAACACCAAGCAACACTGGTTGAAGCCATGCTATTTTGATCCAGACCGAAAACACAAGTAACATAAAGCCGTGCCTGCATAGGAATGTAGCCTTGCGGCGGATCTGGCGCCTGACACGACTTGGGCGCTGTTCGGTGGGGACGGGGCGGGGGTTCCGATACGTAGCCGAGCTTTGGGGGAGGGGGGGGCTGGTTTGGGGTTCCGGAGTTGATTCCCTTCGACCATAGAGAAGCCAAGGCAATGTCCTTGTGGGTTGCCGTTGCTTCTTTTTAGCTCACCCCAGCAAATGGAAGAAACCAATTCTGGAGGGTGAGTCCAACCGTTTGACGAAGCCCCGTTTTTTCAGGTTCTGAGCAACACCCCGAGGAAACCCGGGCTTGCCCAACCATCCAACCATCAATCCATCCACCAGCCAGCCAGCCAGCCAGCCAGCCAGCCAGCCAGCCAGACAGCCAGCCAGCCAGCCAGCCAGCCAGCCAGCCAGCCAGCCAGCCAGCCAGCCAACCAACCAACCAACCAACCAACCAACCACAAAACCAAGATGAACATGTTTGCACACAGCTAGCCGCACCTTGCATTGGATTTGGGAAACCACCCCATTCCCAGTGGTATCCGAGTGAGTGAGTCCAAGTTCTATAGCTTAAATTCCCCCAATCATTCCAGGCGTCTGTTCCGAGAATTTGCTAAACACCCAGCGGTTGTGAGTGGCTTCTTCAAAGAAAATTCCAACAACTGAGACATCCCAAGGTACAGGACTTACATGGGTCTTCGCTTCCGCGAATTGGCGAGCTCGCCACATGGCCCTCTTTCACTCCGCCGTGCCCCCAGCGCCGTGCGAAGCAGTGCCCGCCTGATAGGTGTTCGGCGGGTAGGAGTTTGGCGGTGTGCCCGGTGCCTGAGAAATGGACACCGCAAGGACTCTTTCGAGGCGTTGAGGCTTTGGGGTTGCAAAACTCCACCAAGATGTGTTGGTGTCCTCTTCCTGATTTTCTGACCTTCACAACTTTCAGTGAGGCAAACTATTCAATTCTGGCTGAAACTCGGAGTATCTCTAGCTTCCGTCTGAGCCATGAACAAAACATGTGGTTTCCGCCGGGAGAACCAAACAAAATACTTGTTTGCCCGCCTCCCCCCTTTTATTTTGCGGGGGAGGGGGACCGAGGCCCAAATTGACACCAACAATTCAGGAGGCTTCCTAGGTGAGTTGCGCAAGTTCAACCTTTTCGTCTGCCATCCAAGTGGTCGCCCCAAAGTCGCAGTCCACACCTCCCAGTGAGTTGTTTTGACCGGTTTTCGTCACAGATGCGGAATCGAGCAAGCTGAGAACCAGGCAGCTCCCGGTGGCAGCGTATGAAGGGGCGCCTCAGTGCATGCCAAGCGAAGTTTTCCCGCAAAACAAGGTGGTTTTCTTGTTGGTGCACAACCACCCCCAAAACACATCTTGGACTCTGTTTGAACCCCCACCCCCCCCCCCCCCCGCGCAGTTGATTTCTGAACAAACCCCCGAGCCAACTCCGACCACATTTTGGCCATAGGTATGTGTTTGAGCCACTGTTTTGGCTTTTTTAGGGCTTACCAAAAGAGGCCAAGTACAGGGGCCAGTTTCAACAAGTGGATTGGGAAGGTGTTGAGGGCCGGATTTGTAGGACTTGAGAGTTGTAGAGGGCTGAAATCGCTACCGGGGTGATCACGCAGCTTGGTTGGCGCTGAGGCTCGGTGTTGAAGCTGAAACAAAGCTTAATCTTTCATCAATGCTTAACCTGGGGAAAAAAACAAAAAACATGATCCCCCCCCCAAAAGAGCTTAAGTTCAACACCGGTGTTGAACTTAAGGGAGGGTTTGCCCAAATTTTTGGTAAGGGCTTGCCCGATTTTCAAGGGATTCTTGTCTGAGACCTCTGCGCCCATCATCGGGGCCTAGCGGCGATCAAACATGGCGCCCCCATGTTTGGGGGTTCAGCAAAACAACTTTTATTCGGTCCTCCAGCAAAGAGGTTAGAATAAGGGCACCAACTTTTTGCTGTATAGTAGGGGAACCCTCCCCCAAAAAAGGGTAAAAGGGCAGTGCTGGGGGACCTAGTTTACATGGGATGGCCAGTGCTCGGAAAACCATTAAAAAGATGATATGCCCCACGAAATGCTAAAAGTTGCAACTATGGTCATTTGAAAGCCAAGAATATTGATCAACCTCCATTTAAGAGGAAATATAGGGGCCCTTGTAAACATTGGGTACAGCAAGCACGAGAGACTGGATTCTAGATGCTGTTGTTCCTTAAAAGCACATAGGTATACATGTTAGTATACCAATTTAGAGGCATGAGGGGAGCAGGCAAGCCATTGTAACTCAATGACTATCCGGGACCAATCCCAGTGATTTTGTCTCCTTGTATATATAGGCGACTAAGGGAGCTGCTCTTTAAACAACATGAACATGCCCATTCTCGTGGCTTGCAAGCCAGCGAGCTTGCGTGTTCCCACTCTCTGCATACAACTAGATCACCAATCATTTCGTCCATGGGCCACACGCTGTATTTCCAAGAGCCTAGTCCACCCCAACCAATGCCCTGTTGCTCTTTGACAACTCCGGTTGAAATGGGCGCGACTTGCTTTTTAGGGGCAAGCATTTTAAGATAGTCCACTGCCCAACTGCTTCTTTTCTTTCGGTTGAACATATTCCAGGGAAAAAAAATACACCCTCACGGGGCGGCTTCAGGCGTCGCATCCAAATGAGCCCAGGGGTGGGTGAATTTGCTTCTCATTTCTGGTTTCCCCTGTAGAAAGGCTTTGGTGTCCCCTTCAAAACAAACCGGGCCTTGTCGCCTAGCCCAATTTTGCAAAACCCTGCAAAGTTCAGGCGAAGTTCGATGCAACCCAGCCTGAGAAACAGGAGGTCCATACTGGACCTCAGAGCAAAACACATCTGCCTGCAGGGGTGATCGGGTACTTGGTAAGTGGATTGCAGCCAGGGCTACAACCTATTCAGGCTTACAGCCATGGTAAGTGGGCTACAACCATGTCTGCTATCACTTCCTGAGTACCCGATCGGCCCTTTAAGTAGCAACTTTCCGCTCAGCAACTACTCAAAGTTACAAGTGTAAGGGAATGGATGGAAGGCGAAAACCCTTTGTGACACCGTGTCGCGGGCTTGCCTTGGCAGCTACTTTGTTGCACAAGAGATGTTCTTGAGCAATCAGAGGTGGCAGTCTGAAATCCCCTTGGGCCTCGGGCAACTGACCAACAAGAAGCTATTGCCTATACCTCCAAAAGGAGCATGTGTCTAGGGGTACCTTCCATTTCCATTCTTTCCAGGGATTCTAAAAACACCTCAACAAGCCCAGGGGAAGCGGCCGGTTGAGAAGAATGGAAGAGGAATGGCTGGGTCAAAATCCAAATCGGTTACCCCCCAGTGAACATCAACCAATCCAACCACTAAAATAGGTTCTAAAAGGGGTGGTGAATTCACCGAAAACCCCCACAATGGGATGCCATTGGTGTTGACCCGCGGCCGACTCCAACCCTATGTGCCTATAAGGCGGCTTGGGCGCCGAGGAGCCCAGGGGCAAGACATCCACTTCCACTCGAAATGGAGCGCTTGGGCGTAAAGCGCCTTTCAGAGGGTCGAGGTGATCGGGGTGCCCTGACCAAAATCAAGCTGAGCTTTCGAATCCTTGGATTGTCAGCGAAAGAATTGTCTGTTGCAGCCACCAATGCACAGAAACACCAAAACCAAGCGCGAAAAACCATCGCCAAGAGCAAAACGTGAATTCAGGCACCTCTAAGGGGCACGAATTGAAGTCCTTCGTTTTGCCGCCCGTCGGTCCAAAAACGAGCCCTCTGAGCGCGGCGTGGTACAGCTGCTGGTAGCTGTTGTTCAACAACGCATTCTTGGTTTCCACCTGCGAACAGAGTTCCGATGTCTCTGTTACCAAGCTAGATGCAGGACCCAGGAATTGGTGCAAAGAAGGGGGGACCATGGGCAATCAACCACCCATGGGTTTAAGCCTACTTGCCAATGGAATAACGCCACCCTGCGAAACTCACAAAACCTCTTGTCTGGTCCAGCTCGTTGGCGTCGTTTTTTTCTTCTGAGACGCGCTTTGAAATCAACTCCTGGCATTGGAGGGTGAACTGGGTTGGCGCTGGACCGAACCAGCTCTTTGGGACTGTCCCACGGGATTGATCATGCCAAACAGAATTCTGGACCTGCGATGAGGTTCAAAAGAAAACTACCTCAACGACTTCCATTTGGTTCAGGCCCCACGAACAAATAATAGCACATACTTGCCAGTAGTGCTGAACTCCTTTTGAGACCAACAAGGGAAAATGAAAACACATTCTTAAGCAACTGGAGGACGATAATACGTAAATCCCCCACCTCAAGAATCCACCTTTGTTCACTCGATGCGAGTGGGCTTGTTAGCGGCTGGGAGCTCCGAATTTTGGCTTCCCTTTCCAGATGCCACAACAAGGGCAGCAACTCCTAACCTCAAGTTGTGCAGTGACCCTGGAACAAAAAGGAACCTTTTTTGGGGAAGACCATTTTTAGTGGGGCAGCCACCCAAAAGAAAGCGAAAAAGGGTGCACTGAACAACTTGAGTAACACAAAAGCACCCACATCTGCCAAGGGTCCAAGTGCATGGATTTCTGGAAACAAGAGGCGTCAATTTCCTCTCGAGCAATCCCACCACGTTGAAAAAAGGCGAGTCATAATCAACACCTATAGGTGCAGTGGTCGACCCATGTAAAACCGAAAAGGCTTGCCGGATGTATTCCTTCGGACTATCCTACTTTCACTCCGGGCTTTCATTGTGGCTCGCGTGTAACTGAAACAAGTGCGGGGTCAGGACCTGCAAGAGGGTACCCATTTTTGGCGGTTTTAAAGCGAAACCAAAAGGAAAGCCATTTCTTCTTTGTCTAGTTTTGGGGAGGGGGGGTGGTCCCCAGAAAAAAGACACGCCCATAATTGATTTCCCTCCCTGCCGAGAAGGGACGTATGCAAGGAGTCGCCTTGCAAAGTTGCCCCTGGACAAAGGGGCCCGGAACTCTCGTCCGAGAAAGGGAACACTCAAGGGGTTAAGGAGTCACCTTGCCAAACTGCCCCTGGGCAAAGGGCCCCGAAACGGTTATCCATGGTGATTCCAGAATGAAACACCCTTTCACTGAAAGACAAATGCCAAGTACCGAAAACACCAGGGATCCGGGCAAAGGAAACCTTTGAGAAGCCAGGCGAGGGCCCATGTCACCCAGTGGCCTTTGGTTCTACCTAGTGATAGAAAGGCCTGGGGCTCAGTTACCATTAAAACAATGGGGGGGGGGGGGCATATAAACACCATTGTTTTCCTGAGGATTGTCATCATCCAAATTGGGTCAACCTTTCTTTTAACACGGGGTTGAACCCTAGGGAAGGTTTATGTAACAATGTAGGCTGTACCCCAATTTAACGAAACCATACGAACCAACTACCGAAATTTTATGAATTTCCCTATGGACACTTTCGTCAGCTTTTCCCACTCATTGGTGGTTTGGATTTGGATATGAACCCCTGCTTTTTTTCCAACCCAATTTGGAAAATTCAAATGATGTTTACCAACTAACACACCCACATGGGGGGTTTACCCCCGCTTCTTCCCACTCCAAGCCAACACTCGGCTCCACCCAAGAACCACGGGCGTCTGGAAGCGGACTTTTCCGGGTCGGAAAGTTTCGTTTCGCCGGTCGCCGAGCCTTTGGGCTTTGGATCATATCTTGAAGGCCTCGAATCAGCGCAAGTGGGGCCGAGCCCAAAAAGCTGCTTGGATGTTCCAAGCTAGTGGAGTTAGTCACTGGTCGGCAAATGGGCGTGGTTCTCAAAATGAATTGATCGATCGGGGCCTTTGCCGCAGGTTTTTTGGGTAACCCATGTTTCCACTCACCAGGGCAACCCATTTTGGGTACCGGTTTTTTGAGCCACAGCCACATGGCAAGGGGTCAAAACCCAAGCCTCGGGGTTTACACCCAAGCCGTCGCTAAGACGACAGTCGAGTGGAAACCATCTGAGGCACCTTAGGTTTTGACCCGCCAAATTGCGGGTGGAAGCTCAAATGAGCCTTCAAAGTGCTTGGGATTCCGTGAATCCCCGGTTTTGTGTCCACCTGACAGCCGGGACGCCCACGAAAATCTTCCGAAATAAGAAGGCGGGCCCTCAGACTTCTCGTTCCCCTTCGGAAGTCCCGAAGCCTAAACCGCCTACTCCAAATACCCACTTTTTCTACGGTATTTTTTGAAAAGCCTGGTTTTCCACGGTAAATATGTCCTTTTTTGGCAGAGGGACGCCAAAAAAAAAAGTAATTGGAGTAGGGGGAACAAGTGGTTGAGATTCCATGCATCCCCGCTTTGTGTCCACCCAACCGAACCCCCCCAAACAGAAGTTCCCCAGTTCCTATTAGCAAAACCTTCGCGTTCGCGCCCATCTGCCCCGAAGAGAGACGTCCGAAGTCAAGGCCCGGAGATTTCTTCGAAACCCCTGAAGTCCCGATTCCTGTCAGCTTCAATGCGGCAACTCTTGTTCATCTCCGCTTGCTCAACCCAGATCTTCTGGGGGAGGTCCCCAATGTTTAATGAGACGCATGGTGAACGGCGACTCCACACCTCGAAGTCATGGGATTCGCTTATGACTCACAGCCAAAACTCAGTAATCAAGGCAGTCCATCCAAAAGCATGTAAGACACGGTCGAAATTGCTTACTTACGGCCGCTTCGCTACTTAGTTTGAGAGTCCCCTAGATCGATGAAACCATCCACCGATTCAGCGCAAAGTAGAGCCGTCCTTCCAAAAACATGCCCGGGCTTGGTGGATGGATGGTTTGTGGTCAACTTGTTTTGGAGTCCACCGCAACTGCTTGACGAAGGCACACGGCTTCAAATGCCGAGCAGCTCAAGGTCTGTCGTGATTGCACCACAGCACCACTGGGCGTGGCAACCGCGGGCATCCTAAGTCTTGGCGACCATCACGACATCCCGCGAGTGAGAAACCGCCCGAGTTCGACCCTAAGGCTCCTGATTGGCTTTGGCTCCTGGCAAAATGCCGTTTTTAAGAGTAGTGGTCACGTGGGCAGAAGAAAAAAAACAAAAAACGTGGACAACTCTTGTAGCCTTCTGGCCTGGTATCGGTTAGCGACCCATGGCTGAGTTCCTGCGATGTCAACTGCCGAGGTGGAGGCGTGTAGGCGGGACCTTGCACGAAGGCCTCAAAAACACACCCGGCGCTCGACATTTCCCTCGGGTTCCCAAGGCCCCCATTAAAAGAAAGGCAAGGACCCAACTTGGATGACGATCCTTAGGAAAACGTTCTGGTGGTTATATGACCCCCCATTGGGTTGAATGGTGGTAACTGAACAGGGGTTTGATGCCAACAGTCTAGACAATATAGATGCCAACTGCGGAGTCTACCAATTGCAACCTGAAGTATTCCAAGACGCTGTCCAAATGGAATGCACCGTGGCATCAAAAGACCACCAGAAGCTTGCACACTTTGTCAATGAGTTTTGCAGAACTCGGGACGTCTCGAGCTTCGGTTCCCTTTGATGTCCTGTGTTAACACGCTCGTGGTTGCCTCACTTCCGTTCACTGACCAAAAGGTGAACAAACGTCATTGAAAAACTGCGGCAATTTCTAAGCAATCCAAAAGTAAGGCCAGGAACTCGGGGAGCAAGTTGTAGCCATAGACCTTTTGGAAGCAATCCCTGGTAAATGGACCACAAAGGCCATCTAAACCAGAACCCATCTATTCCTAACCTAGCGGAGCAAAAGGACAGCTAACAAATGTCCCGGGTTTTCCTGGTGGTTTATTCATCTACTGGTGCCGTCTATGCCTCACCAAAACCTACAAAGCACACCTATGGCTAGGTCCTCTCTACTAGAGAATAAGTTGGTTCCAACTTTGTGTAGTCTATTTTAGTAGGTTTCCCCTCCCAACCCAAAAAAAGAAATGAGAAAAGGGTACCTGGGGCCTAGATTCTCCCATTGCAGCTGTCTGGTGCCTTTTCCGCTTGGCTTCCGCGCTCGGAAGCCGCTGGGCGTTTCTGTGGGCGTCTGTAGCACGCCTGGAAGTGGGGCGCTGGGTTTGGGTGTGGGTCAAAAATGGGTATCCATTTTGGAACCGTAAATGGAAAAACCTGTGGTCCTCTGGTGCTTTAACCTTGCGGTTTTATGGATCTTTAACTTTGACCCATACCCAAATGGGCGGCTCGTTGGCTTTAAAGGTTTCACACCCGAAATGGCGTTTTCCTTGGAGTTTCCCTTCTTAAAACCACACAAAAGAGGGGAAGATCCAGGTATGACTTGGGCCTTGCCTCTATCAATAGATGTCCCTTCTTTATCAGTGTCAGGGGGTATTTTGGGCAGTTGTTCCATACTGATTGAGGATATAGTTACTACAAATTATCGGCAGGGTCACTATTAGTTCATACCAATTTAAACCAATTTGATACCAATGTTTATACCAATTGTATACCACATGTATGCCAAATTTATACCACGTTTATACAAATTTTAAACACATTGTATGCTGCAGTTATACCAATGTTATACATTTTGTGTTACCACATTCAAACACATGTAATACCATATTTGGGCTCAGATGTCATACCCCGTTGGTATAAAATCTGTAAAATTGATACAACATTGGTATGACAATTGGTATGAAATTGGCATGAAAGCTGGCCCGTAAAATTTGTATAAATCCACTAAATCCCAACGGAACGGCCAGATTTCATACCTTTTGCATCCCCGGATTTATACCAATGTCATACCAATTTCATACCAATTTCCATACCATTTTTGTTTCATCACTTTTATACAAATTGCATGCCAACTGGGTATGACATCTGAGCCCAAATATGGTATGACATGTGTATAATGTGGTACCAACAATGTATAACATTGGCATAAATGTAGCATACAATGTGTTTGAAATTTGTATAAACGTGGTATACATTTGGTAAGAATGTGGTATATACAAATTGGTATTGATTGGTATCAAGTTGGTATAAACATTGGTGTCAAATTGGTATCAAATTTGTATAACAATTGGCATCCAATTGGTCTGAAATGGGTACTGACTTGGCCTAAAGAGGCAGGCCCTAAGGTATGACTGTTGACGTCAAAATTGGCACCCGGGATCTTTCCCCTTGGAGCTAAATTGCACATGACATGTAGCTTTGTGAGGGAACCGATTCCTAGGCAGGCTTCATTGAGAAACCACATGGAAAGCCACCCCAAAAGGGGGGTCCCCCTATCTTGACACCAATTTGGGTCCAAAGGCGAAACGCCGACTTTTTTCAAAGCAAACACGCGACACATGCGCAGCCAAATTTCCCCAACCAAACGGCGACATTTCCAGCAGACACGTAGTGCAAAAGCGCATTTGTTCGATTCGACCAAAGAGCTGAGAAACTGATGCTTTTTCGGCCAACGGCGGGAAACACATGCACACTGGATGTCAGCTTTTGTAGTGCAAAAACACTTTTTTCGACCAAAGGACAGGTATCTATCCCCTTCTGCTTCCTGCGAGCATGAGCCCCCTTGTCCCACACCACAAATCTGCCAGCCGGTCCCCAGGTATAGGAAGGCGTTGCCGGCATCTCAGACACACCTGGCGCTTGCCCGACAGCTCACGTCATGGCATAGGCCAAAGCCTCCATTTGCTTAATCCTCTGGAAAAATAAAAAAATACTTCCAGTAGTGATAGATTCCCTTTAAAACCAACAGGGGAAATAAAACATATTCTTAACCAAATGGAAGAAAGTGAGAGCTTCCCCCGAGCTGGGAAAAATGTGAACATCTCCGACAGGTAACATCATTTTTGGAGCGGAATGCTTTGTTTGCGGCCCATGCCGTTTTTCTGCCTATTTTAGAAAATGGTCAGACAGTCTTTCCAGGGCGCTTGGACATAGCGCTGGACATGGACACTGTGGCCCTGTCCCGTGTCCGCTACCGGAATCGGTTTTCGTGGTAGCGCATCTGGTTTTCCTCTCGGCATCATGTCAAGCCATGCGCAAAAATACCCACAACAGACCCACACGCGGCAAAGCTTCCATTGTTGCCTGAGACAAACTTCATGGGGTCGTGCGGCAAGGGGCCATTCACCTCGGGTGAGTCCGAGTTGAACTCCGGGTTCCAGCTGAGAACTGCTACATGGGATGATCCGTCAAGAAATGAGCAGAAAGAGATCCACATTGTGGCTAGTTTGCTTTGCCAAAATCGACTCCAAACAATCCATAACGGGAGGTGCCTGCCCGCTTGGTTTTGCTGGAACTCCCAAAAAGAAGGAACCTTTCTTTCGACCGTGGCACACGTGATGGGCGTTAAACCAAAATCGGAACCGTTTATTGGAATGTCTGCCTTTCTTGGTACCCCCTTTCTTGGTGGTTTCAACGGGACACCAGCAGGACAATCACCGTTTCGCGGGGGTTCAAATTTTTGTGCTCGTGCCTTTTGTGCTTGGCGGGCCAAGCTCTGGTGGTTTTCAAAGGAGATTCTCTCCGCCACATCAGCTCCCTCATATTGGCAGAGCGAAGCTTTCCTTCCATATTTTGGCAGGAAGCATCTGGTCTCAAAAGGCACGAAAAAGAAAGAAACTCCTGTCTCCTTCCGGGATGGGTGGGTGGGCCCAACCAAAGAGCTTGACATGAGAAACGGCCGCCGGCAACATGCACTCACACAAACCTTTGATGCGAAAGCATTGTGCTCGTGCTTTTTGTCCTACACTCTGCGCAGCTTCGCTTCACATTCCATTCTGATGTTGCGCCTTTGCCGGGCCCGTGGCAAGCAGCAAAGTAGACCAAATCCAGGAGAGCACGTGAACTGCCCAACCGCTTGAGTCGATCATTCTGTGGGTCGCAACGATGTGAGAAATGCCGGTTCAACAACCGCTGTGGTCAAACACTGCCAAGAGCGGTGTTGACATAAAGCGCAGACGCTTGACCAGTCACATTGGCCTAGCTCGTTGACCAGTTGCCATGTCCTCGTGAACACGTAAGCCGCTTTGACTCTGCGTTGCGGCATGTCCACCATCTCAAGCCTGACAAGTTGGTTTCTGGGCAATCTCGCACTGCTTGCCTGCTTGTCTGCCATCGGCTACTTTGTGAAGCTTGATGTTTTGAAAGGATGAAAGACCCACTGTCTTTGCGTTCTTTTTGCTCATGGGCATTGGGGGAAGTTTGGATATTCCTTGATGTTTTCACAATCCCTTGAACTTCCGTAGTTCAAGGGGGTGTTGCGGAAGCCTGTCCAGCCAAGCCAAGGACGCATTCCGGATGATGCACTTCGTGATTGTGCCCGTGGAGCTTTTCGCCACAGCCAGGATGCTGAGGATGAGTGGTCTTTGCAGTCGGGGTGGCGGGGCTGGCAAGACTGGTCACAGTCGCCTGGCAGCAGGCCTGGCACGATGATGAGTGGCAGTCGGAGTCGCAGTCGCACCGTGGCAGCGCACAAATATCGCACTCGAGACAAAACCAAGATCGGAAGTATCGCCACAGCGGCGGGAGGTAATGGACGTGCAGTGCTGTGACAGAGCGTGACAAGGTCGCTCCAAGCGCATGGCTGCCAAATGAGCCACAACCAAGTAGACCAACCAAGTGTGCAAGCGACAGCCGCTTTTTGATTTTTGAGACAGTTTCAAGACGAGGGGTGGATGCGTGACCTGGCATTTCTGCTGCTCTTTTGGAACCATTTAAATCTGGCGCCATCGCAGGTACGTGTATACCTGGGCACGCCATGGCCTGGGCTCGGGAGATGGCCTGAGTTTGTGCGGTCACTGTGGATTGCGTTTGTGGATGGGCCCCATCTTTGCAGCGACTCTTTTTCCGGGATTTGGGGCGCGTTATTCAAATCCAAACCACCGATTCCAGGTAAGATGGTTTTGCAGATTTTCGGGACAGCCAAAGAGGAGATACACGGGGTTTGTGGTCTTGGAGGCCAGCTTTCAACCTCAAAAAGATCCAGCCCAAACCACCCATGAGCGGTAAGCTGATGTTTGCTGCATGGCCAGCAAGCGGCGGGGCAACTCAGGCAGTTCAAGCCGTTGATGTGTCTTGTTTCCCCCCCTCCCCCCCAAATGGTGGTTTGCTTCAAACCGTCAGGAAATGCATTGAAAACCGTTGAGAAATGGGCCCGAAAAAAAAAGAGTGTTGTTTGGCAGTGTTGTTTGTTCAGCCCCAACGCTTGACATGCCCAGTGGCTTGGCTTGAACAATTGTTAGGGTCGTTTCTTGGTAGTGTGGCTTGGTCATGTTGTTTGACTAAACACCGCCCCACACCCGAAACGTTTGCGGAGGCCAAGCTCTGGTGGTTTTCAAAGGAGATTCTCTCCGCCACATATGAAAAAATATCTTTCCATTCCACTTTCATCTTGCACGAATCTTGCAGGCTCCCTTATATTGGCAGGGCGGAGCTGTCGTTTCCTTTCTCAGCCCCCTCGGGCGCAACTGATTGCAAACCCATCTCCAATAAGGCTGAGTCGCTCATCTTCATACTTTGCCTTGTTTTGCTTAGCCTCTGAAGCTGACATGCAAACGTAACCAACTTTCGGGGCGCCGCAAAAGATACTGATGTTTGTATTGGTATGGGGGAATCCGAAAGCGTCACTTTCCCATCTTAGCAGGGTTTCCGAGTCACACCTAGCGACTCTCGCGGGCGTGGTGGCGGCCTGGATCGAGGGATGGATGTCATGCACGTGGGATAGGTGATCTGTTCACCCTCCTCAACGCGCTGCCACCCTGGTTCCATCCAACTGTCGTCATCTGGATAATCATGATGGGCGCGCATCTCAATCTACCGGAAATTTCGGGAAAGTTCTACTCCATGAAGTTCTTGTGCTGGACAAAAACGGGGTCGATGCATAGGGATGTGATCAGCGAGGTCCAATGGGCAGGGGGTGGCCGCCAATTGCCTGGATATACTATCTCTTGCTGAAACATCCATAGAGCAATCAAGACCACGAATGGTTTCAGGGAAGAACTCCTCCAACAGCTCCCAGATACGCCAAATCTCCACTGTTCAGACCATTTCTGCACCACCGTTGAATCAATTCTTCTAACGTCTTCCAAAAGCAAAGCAGAGGGCCACCTTCGCGAAACGCAGGTTTGCGGCACTCGACCCCAATCAAGACTCTTGGAGGTGTTGCTTGTGCAGGTTGAGGCGGCTGAGGTGGTCAGGGCGCTGTTGACACCGACCCGCCGCCGACTTGAGTGCTGCCTCCCCCCGCTGTTAGAGCCACCAAAGGGTCTTGGGCCGCCCCAGTTCGCCTGCAAAACTCCTCTTCAATTGCCAGGCTTTGCTTCCGCACCTCTGTGGCAAGCTGCTCCGTCAACTCCTTCTCATTGTCCCGAGCCCGCTTGCGCTGCAGCTCCTTCTCCAGCTGCTTGCGCTTCTTCTCTGCCTAAGCCGAGCGCCACGTCTTAGCTTGGTTGGTTGTTGGTTAGCTGCGATGGTTGGTTGGGCGGTTGGTTGCTTGGCTGGTTGGTTGGTTTTTTTCTGGATTGGTTGGGGGTTGCAGCTGGGTGCGGTGGGTTAGTTTGGTTTTTGGTTGTCGCTAACTTGACTCCGCCCCCCGCTCCCAATCATAACGCAAGGCAAAGGGGCAGCAAGGGCAGGAAAACTTCGCACTTTCTGCGGGCTCCCCGTGAGCCAGTGTATAGATGAAGTTGGCCCACAGCGCTGAAGAGACTGGCTGGGCGGGCAGTAAACATACCCCTGTTTGCAACTACAAGCGCAGCCAGGCAGAACTAAAGGATGTTTTAGCAGTTGTTTCTAGGGGGTGTTTGGGACAGAGCCTGCCCAGCTGGCAGCAAGACCGCCAGCTACCTGAGCCACCCGCGAAAAGACAGGCAGCGGACGAGGGCGGCAGGCAGACCCTGAAGAAGTGGAACCCTTGGCTTCCCTTTTCTGCAAAGAGCCCCCGCTTCATAAATATGGCTTGAAGGATTGAAGGTGTAAAAAGGGCTCCCTAATAGGGCTTAGTGTTGGCTATTCTAAAAAGTAGTATTCCCGGATTTGGGGTTTTCAAAAATCGGTTTTAGTATTTGGGGACTGTTTAGCATTAGTAAGAAGGGATTACATTCATGCAGATGAGGGTCAGGAACTGCCGAAGATGCAGGGCCGGATCCATATAGCAGATGATGAGCGACAAAAGGTGGCACAGGAGCTTGTCACGACATATTTGCAGCCGGGAAGCAGAAGACGATATCGGGGTCTATCGAGGAGAGTAGGCGTTGAGTGGAGTATTTGCAGTGGCAAACAAATGCGGAGATTGCGCCAGAGTTCAGAGAGTCAGTATGAACCTAGTGCCCACGAATGCGGTGACGCGAGAGACTCCAGGGGCTGTCATCGACTTCCCAGCATCAGCCAGTGGCTTGGAACAGCGGCAGGTGAGGACGAGATGATGCTGATGTCGGCGGCTTTTTACCTATTTCGTACTCCGCAGCCGTGGCGGAGATGGTTGGCTTTCAACTTGTGGGTGGAAGGCGAGACCCTGGGTAGAAGCGATAGTGCTTCGGTGGCGCTTACGCAGGAGGGGTCGGAGAACCTGGTACTGAGGCGGGGTCTGCCAAAGAGAAGCCAGGTGGCCGCCCGAGGAAAGCCTTTACCTCCCTGGATGGCCGAGTGGACAACTGGACGCGCTACATGGAGAAGCAGAGGAATCATGGTTACAGGCTAGTGTCGCGCTATCAGAGAAGAAGGAAGGTGACTGGGAGATGGGTTTTCATTCTGCAGTTTTGGCGTGCTGGCATTCACAGCTATTAGGAAACTTATTGAGGGAAAGGAGCAGCGCTGGCTTTGGGCAAGCCGTGCCAGACAGAAGCTGGTGGGGATCTGCTGCGGGGCGTTGCTCATGCACACCTTTCTTGGAGTTGAGATTGAGGATGAGATCTCATGTAGCGATGCCAGCATGACTGGAGGTGCAGTGGCAACCGCGAAAAAGCTGACTTTGAGCGGAAGATTCCGCTGCTATGACGTTATAGGGGTCGTCCTTGCGTCCTTGCCAAATCCCAGCTTGACACGGCAGACAGCGCGGCAGGTTGGCAAGCGCTTGGGCAATTTTGCCTTGTTTTTTGAGCAACGTCTGAGCGGCCTTTGAGTTTGTCCTGC